ATTATTTTTACCCAAACCAGTTAGGGTAAACAATGTTATCCCTAACACTTAATTCTGAGCTGCTTGAGGATTTCAGTAGAAAAACTCTCAAAAGGCAAGGCTCGATAGAATTGTGCAAAAAAAAAAAAAAAACCAATCAAGGATGTACCCATTTTACAGAATGGAAGTCACTCAGCAAGAAGAGCAGTCTATAAATTTGATCAAGAAATACAGGATAACCCTTGATTACAACTGCCTGTTCAGTGACCATTCAAAGCTACAACGGTGTCCTGCCCCTGGTGGAGACTGACTCTGAGGGAGAGGAGGAACAGCCGACAGGGAGTGGAAGTGGGGCTCCAGAGGTGGTGGAGGAGGCTGGGGAAGGGCAGAGGCCGGCTGGGCCATCAGAGGAGGACCCAGGCCCATCCACTCTCCATCCTAGGGCACGCAGGGAGGAGAGGATAAGGGAGAAATGTGGTCTACTGGGGAGGAGAGGGCCTTGATCCTCTTCATGGGCTGCAGCTGTGAGAACTGAATAAGAGTTTGGACCTGCTTACTGGCAAACGCTGGAAACAAAGCGTGTTTTATTTTGGTCTAAAGTTATCTTGGTTGGCATCCTTCCAACAGACTGTGCCTTGTTTTCTCCTTGAATTTGGTAAATACTTCTCCTGTTCCGCTGTGGAAATTTGTTGTTCGTTTGGTTTTTTATTTCACTTCTATCTGCTTATTAAATTCGGACTGTATTGCTTTCTTTTGAAGACTATTTTTGAGTACGTTTTATCTCCAACTGAGTATTATTGAACAGTGGGGCCAAGTTGGAGGCATTAAAGGACATTTATTTACATTTTGGATTTTGTTATGTTTGTTATCCCACCCTGGGTCATCACAAACGGCACTGAAAAAAGTGACTTATAACTTAATGTTTTTCATACTTATGACCTTTGTAGCATCCCCGTTAGGCATGTGCTCAAAATTCAGACGTTGGGGCAACTGACTCACATTTATGACGGTTGCAGTGTCCCAGGGTACTGTGTTCCCCTTTTGCGACCTTCTGACAAGCAAAGTCAAGGGAGAAGCCAGCTTCGCTTAACGACTGTGTTACTAAGGTAACAACTGCAATGATTCGCTTAACAACTGTGGCAAGAAAGATTGTGAAATGGGGCAAAACCTGAACAACTTAACAAGTATCTTGATCATCAATGAAAATTTTGGGTTGCAGAAGGTGACCACATAACCCCGGGACACTGCAACCGTCATAAATAGGAGTCAGTTGCCAAGCATCTGAATTTTTCAAGTGTGAAAAATTTTTCAAGTGTGAAAAATGATTCTAAGTCACTTTTTTCAGTGCCGTTGTAACGTTAAATGAACTGTTATAAGTTGAGGACTACCTGTATATAGCAATGTTTCTTAACTTGGAAAACTTTAAAATGGGTGGACTTCCAGAATCCCCCAATGATCCCTCCCAGGAATTCTGGGAGTTGAAGGCCACAAATGTTGGCTGAGGAATTCTGGGAATTGAGGGCCACAAATGTTGACTGAGGAATTCTGGGAGTTGAAGTCTTCCCACCTTAAAATTGCTGAGGACACACAAATTTACACCATCAAGGATCAACAAGCTACAACATTTGAACAATTGAACAATTCAGTGTTGATCCTAATCCCTTTCTTTCTCCTTTCTTCCCAGTGAAAGAACAAAAACCGTCGTTCTGGAATCAACTGGCGGATAAAGCCATTCAGAAAGCGAACCAGTTACAATACCGCAACTACAAGGCCAAGAACCTCATCCTCTTTCTGGGAGATGGTGAGTAGTTACTCCAGGGTGAAGCCTAACCAGATGGCTGAATCAGAATTATTATGCTCTTTCTTGGCCTTTCTCTCTCTTTCTTTATATGGAATTATTGCAGCATTCGATTTTCTCCTTCAAGTGGCTATAGAAATCTCGCTTCTACTCAAGATTTCAGCCTTCTTCTTCTTCTTCTTCTTCTTCTTCTTCTTCTTCTTCTTCTTCT